GGTGCAGAGGCTCATCACGTGAGTTCACACAGACTTCAGGATTTCCAGTGCTGCTTCTCACATCCCTCCCAGCATTTGAGATGAAATAGCATCTACCAATATCTGTATGCACATTTATATAAATGTGGGGTTTTTGCTATAATAATCTGTGTGACACATTTTTGTACTTTTTACATAATAATAGTCATAGTTCCCATTTATTGAGTGCCTATTACATAGTAAACTGTGTTGAAACAATTTATTCATTTGATCCAAGCAAACATACAAGGTAGTTGCTGTTGTCATCACCATTTCACAATAATAAAATTGCACATACCCAGAGATATTAATCAACTTGCCTGAAGTCTCACACCTAATATATTCTTTATAGGTATCATCTCTTTTTAGCTATATGAAATGGTGTTCACTGGATGGCCTGAAAATCCAGTTTGTGAAGGGTAACTGAATATATTAGGACTGGTATAAAGTGGTACACTTAGGAAACTGTCCCCACCTGCAGGACGTCAACCTGGGGCAAGAGAGTCAGGGATAGGGAATGGGGACGAGACGCAGAAAGAACGACCACAAGTCAGGATTCTGATAAAGTGGCAAACTTTATTTTTCTCAGGCTAGCTTATATAGTCGGCAGAGCAGGATATGGGGAGAGGTAGAATGGGTTGCTTGTGCGCCGGGTGTTAGTGTAGGCAGGATATTAGGAAGCCACAAAGAGAATTTTGGCAGGGTAAAGAGTTCATGAGTAAGAAGTCCAGGAAGGTTTGCCCAGGTGACTGAACCTGTGGGTGGAGGACTGGGTTGTTTCTTTTCTTGAGCTGAGGTTCTAAGGAACTGCTATGTAAAGGTTAATATATAAGTATGTAGCCACCAAGCATGGCCTAGGATCTCATGCCAAGCCCTCAGATCTTTGGCTCCCAACAGGAAACCTTGTATGATGAGCCTTTTAGTTTGTTTGAGACAAGGTCTCACTGTGTAACCTTGACTGGCCTCAAACTCACAGAAATCTGCCTGCCTCTGCCTCCTGTGTGCTGGGATTAAAGGTTTGTGCACCATGTCTAGTTCATGTGGGCCTTTTTAAGGGATATTTTATAAACCAACCACAATAGTTCTATTCACTTTCCTTTCTGCTCTGTAGGTAAATGTTTGCCTTGGTATATAGTTTGCATCTCCTGTTTTCCAGTCCCCAGACTCTGAACTTAACTGCTGTCAATGAAGCTGTGCTGATAGAAAATCTGGAAATCTTCAAAAAGAATGGCTTTGATTTTGTCATTGATGAGGATGGTGAGTTAACCATTAGGACTGTAGGGTAAAGCTGAGAAGCATTTGTGCTTGCCCTGCCTTTGGGTGTGTGGGTCTTCATTATAAGTAGTCATGAGCTAAAATGCTTTGCTCCAATAATGGATTTTCCTCAATATTTTTTCCTTTTAGCTCCAGTCACTGAAAGGGCTAAATTGATTTCCTTGCCAACTAGTAAAAACTGGACCTTTGGACCCCAAGATATAGATGAACTGATCTTTATGCTAAGTGACAGCCCTGGCGTCATGTGCCGGCCCTCAAGAGTCAGGCAGATGTTTGCTTCCCGAGCATGTCGGAAGTCTGTAAGTAAAATAAGCTCCACTCTTGGAGTGGGGGTTGGGGGTTGGGCAAGGAAGTTCTCAGTTCTACTCTTGGTTTGGTTATGTTGTTAAGCACATTCATGATGGTTACAATATGTAGAGAGCCACATTGTTGGTATAATATGACAGCCGGGTCTGCATTTGGGGGGGTGGGGCGTCTTGGTAGCTCTTGGTTTGATCTGGGAAGCAAACAGGGTTAAGAACTTTGCTGTAGGGCTGGAGAGATGGCTCAGAGGTTAAGAGCACTGCCTGCTCTTCTAGAGGTCCTGAGTTCAAATCCCAGCAACCACATGGTGGCTCACAACCATCTGTAATGAGATCTGTGCCCTCTCTGACCTACAGGCCTACATGTAGGCAGAACGCTGTATACATAATAAATAAATAAATCTTAAAAAAAAAACAAAAAAACTTTGCTGTAGGCTTGCTGTATGTGAGGCCCCATTGTTCAGTAAGTAGAATGTCAAAAAGCAACATGTGACAGTTTGGGGCTTGAGGGAGATGTCTGGGCTATAGTATGTTTGCTGGATGTCTAATGTCATCTTGACACAAGCTAAAATCATCTAAGAGAAGGTAACCTCAACTACAAAAATGCCCCCATAAGATCAGGTTGTAGAGAAGCCTGCAGGGCATTTTTTAAATTAGTGATTGATGGGAGAGGGCCCAGTCCGTTGCAGGTAGAGCACCCCTGGGCAGGTGATCCTGGGTTTATAAGAAAGTAGGCTGAGCAAATCATGATGAGCAACTAATAAGCAACACCCCTCCATGGCCTCTGCATCAGCTCTTGCATCCAGGTTCCTGCCCTCACTGCTTCTGATGATGATTCAGTTTTATATGGAACTGTGAATGAAATAAACCCTTTCCTCCCCAAGTTGCTTTTGGTCACGGTTTTTCATCACAGCAATAATCCTAACTGGGACAGTGTGATTCACAACTTTCAGATAGGTGAAATAACTCCAGGGACAAGTTTTGTTTCATTATAGCATGGGGTCGGAGGAGGAGTGTCTACATACCATGGAGCTTGTATGTAAGTCAGAGGGCAATATTGTGGAGAGTTGGTCCTTCCTTTATGTGAATTCTGAGGATCAACCTTACATTGACAGGCTTGTACAGTAAGCCCTTTACTCCGAGCCATTTAGCCAGCCCTCAGAGTTTTGTTTGTGGACTGCTAATGTGGCTTAGTTGTAGAGCACTTGTCTAGTATGTGAGCAGGAGTGTGCATGCGTGTACACACACCCAAAATGCTCAGGATCTGATTTCTGCTCACAAATACTTGCTTGATGAAAACCATCCTATCCTGCAATGAAAATAAATGTCAGAGCAGGTGGTCTGTGTCACAATTGTCATGCCAGGCACTTTATCCTTCTGTGTGTCTGTGATAGGGCCTGCAGAGCCATAGATTATTTTTCTGCTCTTGCCCTGAAGACACATTGTTGTAGCTCCCTTGTCTCTAGCACCGACCTTCCTGGGACCTCCTATCTACTGTTGTCCACATGACATATTCCAGTCCCTGCTTGTCTTTTCAGCCTCTTTTCCTTCACTTTGCTCCAGCCACAGCCAAAGGGTTGCAATCACCGTCTTCTGTCACCTCAGGCCCTTTCTGCCTACCATTCCCCACCTGTATCCACTATCACTGTTTTTCACATGCCTGGCTCCCTCCTGTCTGCAGACACGCCATATGTGACATTTGCTAACTTGTTTGTCTTTCTGTCCCCTGTATGGCAGAACACTGCTTTGTCCCTAGCTCTAGGACTGTGCTGACACCTGGTGGACACTTCATGTGCTATATACTAGGAAGAAAGATTACAACAGAGGACTTTAGGCCTGTCTGCATCCCCATCTCTACCTATTTCTCAGAGTCTCAGAATGTTGGGGTGTACCGTAGCATCTACTTGTCACATGCGTGTCACAAAGCTCTTCATGCTCTGGAGAGAAAAACAAACATGCTGTTTCACTGAGAATAGGCAGGGCATTTGAGCAGGAGCCTACAGGAAGGAGGATTTGCAAAAAGATACAGGGAAAGCAAGTCCCAAGCACAGGGACAGCTAGTTCTCTGGTTTTGAAACTTGCTTTGTGCATGTGCACATGGAGGTGATGTGCCAGTGTGGCAGAGAAGATGGTTGCATACTAGGATATTATCTTGGTTACTGTTCTCGTGCTGTGATGAGACACCATGACCAAGGCAACTTATAAGAGAAAGCATTTAATTGGGGGCTTGTTTACAGTTTGAGAGGATGAGTCCATGATCAAATGGTAGGAAACATGGCACTGGAGCAGTAGCTAACCTCAGAGTCCACCTCCAGAGAGACACCTCCTCCAACAAGACCACACCTCCTAACCCTTCCGGAACACTAACTGGGAACCAGACATTCAAATATATGAGCCTACAAGAGCCATTCTCGTTCAAACAACACACATATGCTGGCACATTAAGCTTTTACTTGCGTCAAGGATAAGCTAGAAATAGCAGTGAGTGACCTGACAGACTTTTAAAAAGAACTGTTGTTCTGGCATGGTGACTCAAATCTATAGGCCCTGCACTCAGGAGACAGAGGCAAGAGGGTCATTCCAAAGGCTGGCCTGGTCTATAGTGAGTGCCAGGCCAGCCAGGGTTAATCATAGTGAGACCCTATCTTCAAGGGGGGTGAGGGGGAATAGGGATTAGGATGATGGCTCTGCAGGTAAAGTGCCTTCTGTACAATCATGAGGGCCTGAATACAAATCCCCAGCACTCACATTAAAAAGCAAGTTGTAGTGCATGTTTGCAATTCCTGCTCCAGGTAAGTGGAGACACCTGTGAATCCCAGGGACTCACTGGCTGGCCAGTCTAGCCAAAATAATGAGATACTAAGATAGACCATGGTAAACATCAGTGTCAACTTTTGGCCTCCATGCACTCAGGCATGAACAAGTATACACATGCACATGCACACACATGTTTTCTTACACACGTGGATGCACGCTTGCACACACACACACACACACACACACACACACAAATGCATGTAAGTATGCTTGCATACATGCACACCAAAAAATAAAATGAATAATAAAATTCCTTGCGCCCTGCTGAGTGGAGAGAGGCATTCCGGACCACTCTAGTTGCCAGAGTTAGAGGACAGAAGTGAAGTCACGGTGGGACTGTTGAGAGAAACAGGGTGCATATCCACTTTTTGAGAGGTTGTACTACCAAAGCCTGAGCCATGAAGGATGGAAGCTCAACAAAAGTGTGGAGTGCTGAGCTGTCAAAAGACAGGACTCTGGGGGAAGGTTCTTCAAGAAATGTTTTGAGCTGTGGTCTTGTCTGGTTTCATCTTAGAGAACCCTGTGCTTCTGAAGACAGTCTTAATAAAGTTCAGTCAAACTCTCCATTATTGTCTCGTACTCAGGTGATGATTGGAACCGCTCTCAATACAAGCGAGATGAAGAAGCTCATCACCCACATGGGTGAGATGGACCACCCCTGGAACTGCCCCCATGGAAGGCCAACCATGAGGCACATTGCAAATCTGGATGTCATTTCTCAGAACTGATACTTCCTGCTTGTAGGATAGAGTTTATTGCAGATTATTCTGTCTTGGAAAGACGGGGTTTTAAGTAGCTTGTTTATCATTGTCCAGAAATTAACATCCTATTTTAATGTATTAGATCCACTTAAAAACCGGTGTTAAGTCAAGCATAGTGGCATCATGTGCCTATAGCCCAGCTGCTTGGGAAACACAGGGGGAGGCTTAGTTGAGGCCAGGAGTTTGAGGCCACCCTGAGCTACATTAATGAGACTCCATTCCAAAAAGGGGGGAAAAAAAATTAAGCCTTTTTCAGCCGGGCGGTGGTGGCACACTCTTGCAATCCCAGCACTTGGGAGGCAGAGGCAGGCGGATCTCTGTGAGTTTGAGACCAGCCTGGTCTACAAGAGCTAGTTCCAGAACAGCCTCCAGAGGCACAGAGAAACCCTGTCTCGAAAAACAAAAAAACAAAAAAAAAAAAAAGCCTTTTTGCCATGTCTGTAGTTATTGTTATTGAAATTTGAGTGTCTGTGTGGTGTGTGTGCAGGGGTGCAAAGATATGTCTTAGAAAAACAAGGAGAGTCCTTTGGAAGTTAGCCGTCTTCTCTCTAGCTGGGGGTATTGTAGTCTGCAGCTTTCAGCCCTCAATGACAGTTGAATTCATGTTGTTTACTTTCTCTCCCGCCCCACCTGCCTTGTGTTTTGAGACAGTTTCCTGTAACTCAGGGTTGTCTTGAACTTGTTTTGTAGCCAAGGCTGACCTCCACCTCCCAAGTGCTAAGATTACAAGGTTGCATCACATACCCAAACTACAAATTATGGTCTTTTGAAATTAGTAGCTCTCAATCCTGAGTCGTTAAATGAAAAAACACAGGGATTCTTTGCCTGGTTGGAAAGAAACTACTGAATAGGATTGGGGCCACTTTTAGGGGTGGGAATGGGAAGGAATGAGACAGGGTCTCTCTCTAGCCCTGGCTGATGTGGAACTTGCTATATAGACCAGGCTAGCCTTGAACTCACAGAGATTCTCCTGCCTCTGCCTCCTGAGTGCTGGGATTAAAGGCATACACCACCACACCTGGCTGGGGTCACTATTTTTAAATGTTCCTCAGTGCAACTGGAGTGGAAAACGGACTGGGGCAGGGAGGTGAAAAAAGAAAATTGAGTTTTCTATAGCTCAGTGTTGTAATTTGGTTTCCTTGCGGTGGGAACTATGGGTTCTTGTTTCTGTTTCCATGGAGTCTTGTCCATTTGAGCTATGCCAAAAATGGAAATAAAAATGCCTCTTGTAGAGTGTAGGTAGTGGTTTGGGTACAGTGATGACAGGTGTGGGCAATTCCCCATCCAGCATCCTCTGCTATGGGCCTCCCGGAAAAGAGATCTGCCATGGGTCAGGTGTAATGAGGTTGTGGAAGCATAGCTCTTTCCATTCATTGTGTCAGTCTGTGTTAATACTGGGCAAGGTGGTACAGACCTGTAAATCCCAGCACAGCAGAGGCAGGCTGATCTCTGAGTTCAAGGCCAACCTGGGCTGATACATACAGTTCCAGGCCAGTCAGGATTAGGTCTCAAACTGCTGCTGCAGGTCTACAGGGTCTCATTTAATATTCATAGGAACAGTGCAAGTTGGGAGTTGTAAGAGATACAGTAATGACCCCTCAAAAGTGTCTGCTTCTGATCACCAGAACCTGTGACTCACCTCGTACATGACAAGGGACTCCAGGTGGGATTCAAGATACTAATGATGGAGAGATTGTCCTATGCAGTCTTTGTCACATAAGTTCTTCAAAGTGGAGCACAAGTGTACAGACTCTCCTTGGAAGATTGTTCTTCAAATCGTTGTTTGGTTTAAGGCCTTGGTGGAAAGCAAAAGCCTGCATTATGTTTTGTCATGAAGAAACCGGTTAAAAGGGGGCCTCATACTTTGCAGTTAGATGTGGGAAAATCCATGCCAAGTACATCCAGCTGAAGTCCCCAATTCCTCTCTTGAGAATAAGCATGTTAAAACTGAATGCTCTACAGCTTTGTGTTGGCATCACGGCCCCTTTAAGAGCACAGGAGGCTGGGCTTGTGGCAGTTGCTTGGAAACCACCAAGCTCTCAGGAGCGAAGCCCTCCTTTGGATCTGCAGGCCTGGCCAAAGCAAGTGGGTGAGCACCCTAAGGTGGTCTTGTGTGCGAAGCAACAACTTAAAACCTGAGCCAGTTCCTTAGCCCATGCTTGATTGATGAGGGGATCCTGCAACTGGGTGGAGTGGTCCTGGGACCTGTGCCCAGAGAAAGGGCGGGTTTGCAGTTTACTTGTGCAATAATATGGCGACTTTGTAAGATTGGGGTCGTGACATTACTTTAAAAAACAAGTTAGTTTTATCTGTAGTTTGAATTTCAGTGGTAGAAGACAGAAAAAAAGTAAATGCTTGTTCAAGTTGAGAGTAGACACTGCTGATATTCATCAGACCCTTGGACAAGTGGAGGGCGGGGTGTTGGAGAAAGAGAAGCTCTGAAGTGGAATTGGGTATGCCTAGCAGAGGCAAGCATGAAGTGCCACTCTATCTGCCCCCAGGGTGCACGAGCCTGGGCCAGACTTCTTTGCACCCCAGGATTTCTTTATGTCTTGCTTGCCTAATGTAGGACACAATGAATGAGATCAGTATCTGCTCTCAGCTCTGCAGCTCATCCTTTCTCTTCTGTGGTGATGAGAGCCACTCAGTCATGAAGCTCTACTACAGGGCTACTTGCACATTTTCTACTCAACCCCTTTTTGCTCAAGAAATTTTTGCATGACCCATGCCTTAGTATATAAAATAGGTGTGCACAACAAATATTTACTGATAGTAAATAATAGTTAAATTTATTTTAAAACAGTTTTGGGATACATATAAAATTACCATTTATTAAATAAAACATTTGAATACTAATTATATGCTTATTTATTTTTAAGATTTCCTTATGTGCGTGTGTGTATATACATATTCATGAAGGCCAGAAGATGGTGTTGGATCTGAGCAGCAAGTGCTTTTGATGCTCAACCCCAAAGCTTCATTTTATTCCCATTTTATTTAATTAATGGGGTGGGGGTTGTGACTAGTGTGTAACTTGCACATATGGAGGTCAGAGGACGGCTTACAGAAAGTGACTCTCCTTGGTCATGTGGTTTCCAGGAGTTAAACTCAGGCCATCAGGCTTGATGGCAAGTACCTTAACCTAGGAAGTCATCTTTCTAGCCTGCTTGTTTATATAAAATTAAGTCTTGGGACTTTAGAGGTGGCTCAGAAGTTGAGTGTCTGCTACTTGATCATGATGACCCCTCTCCCCCTCCCTCTACTTCTCGCTCTCCCCCTCCCTCTCCCTCTCCCTCTCCCCCTCCCTCTCCCCCTCCCTCTCCCTCTCCTCCTCCCTCTCCCTCTCCCTCTTCCTCTCCCTCTTCCTCACCTTCTCCCTCTCCCTCTCCTTCTCCTTCTCCCTCTCGATCTCTCACACACAAACACAATAATTTTAAGCATTCTAACAGAATTCATACAAAGATACACACTGAGAAATGACAGTAGGAAAATGTCTTTTTCTGTAATTAAATCATGGTTATACAAAAATAGGAAACTTTACAGTAAAAACCCTGCAATTCATATAATGTAATCTTCTTAAAACTGAGTTGAAGTGTTTCAAGTAACATTAGCATTGCATGGAATAATGAATGACATACACAGTACAAAGTTCACATGTTGAGTATTAAGAACCAAGATGGAGCTGGAGCAAAGGTTCAGTGGTCAAGAGTGCATATTACTCTTCCAGAGGACCTGAGTTCACTTCCCAGCACCCATGTCAAGTGGCTGATAGTCACCTATATCTCCAGACTCCTCTTCTGAGGGTACCTGCACTCACATGCACATCCCCACACACACACACACACACACACACACACACATAATTAAAAAAAAAATTCATAAAAGGCAAAGAACCAAGACACAAAAGTTGTCTGATGCAACCCAGGAGAGTTCTGCCAGAAATGTGTTGGGTTAATTATGAGTTTGATTTTGAATTATTTTTTGCTTGTGCCTTCAGAAACCTTTTCCTGTGTCAGAGTATCATGAGCAGAGTTCAATTCCCAGCATCCAGATGACAGCCAACAACTGTCTTTAACTCTAATTCGAAGGAATCTGATGCCTCTTCTGGCCTCCCTGGGCACTGCATGAATGTGTTGCATAGACATATGCAGACAAAACACCCATAAACACAAAATAATAAAATATTAAAAAATAGTTTTTAATATTTGTTAATACAGACCCCATGACATGCACCTATAGCCCTAGTGCTTGAGAAGTAAACACAGGAGGATACTTGGGGCTCTCTGACTAGCTAATTTTATATAATTGGTGGCCTCAAAGTTCAGTGAGAAGCCCTGTCTTCAAAAAAATAATAAGATGGGAGCTGGAGAGATGGCTCAGAGGTTCAGAGCACTGGCTGCTCTTTCAGAGGTCCTGAGTTCAATTCCCAGCAGCCATATGGTGGGTCACAGCCATCTATAATGAGACCTGGTGCCCTCTTCTCTCATGCAGGAATACATTCAGGCAGAATACTGTATTCATAATAAATAAATCTTTTTTAAAAAAGAAAGAAAAACCGGGCGCTGGTGGTGCATGCCTTTAATCCCAGCACTCGGGAGGTAGAGGCAGGCGGATCTCTGTGAGTTCGAGGCCAGCCTGGTCTCCAGAGCGAGTGCCAGGATAGGCTCCAAAGCTACACAGAAAAACCCTGTCTCAAAAAACCAAAATAATAATAATAATAGTGTTAAAAAAATAAGATGGAGCCACATAAAGGAAAACCCAGTGCTGAACTCAGGCCTCCACATGCACACACACCCTCACACGCTAACACATATATACCACACGTACAACAAGAAGTTGCTATTGTGTTCTAGATGGCAGCCAGTAATTTCAAATTCAAAAGCATGAAGTGTCAATCACTCTATCAATTGTTCTGAATTGCATACTTAAGGAATTTTTCTGTGTTATCCCAACCTTGACACAGGTACTACTATTTCTATTTGATATCTGAGGCAGAAAGCAGTTTGCTTAAGGATACAACACTGTTTAACACACAGGAGCCTTTATGTTCTTATGGACCTAATACCTTTTTAATTTGTATTTTATCTTTAAATTATTCTTATTGTGTGTGATGTATTGGTGTGTGTGTGTGTGTGTGTGTGTGCAACTGCCATGGTTCACTTATGGAGGTCAGAGGACAACTTGTAGGGGTCAGTTCTCTCATTCCACCATGCAAGTTCAAAAGATTGAACCCAGGTTGTCAAGGCTTGTAGCAAGTACCTTTGTCTAAAGAGTCACCTCTTCCACCCCAACCTTATTTTTATTTATTTTTTGGTTTTGGTTTCTTAAGACAGGGTTTCTCTGTATTGTTTTGGAGGCTGTCCTGGAACTCATTCTGTAGACCAGGCTGGCCTCAAACTCACAGAGATACACCTGCCTCTGCCTCCCAAGTGCTGGGAATAAAGGTGTGCACCACCACCATCCGGCCCAACAATAATTTTTTAGACAAGGTCTGTGACTGAACCGGAAGCTCATTGAGTGAACTAAATTGGTGAGTGAACTGTAGGAAATTCTCCTGTCTCTACCTCCCCACTGTTGGCATTACAGATACATGCCACCACATCAGCTTTTTACATGGGTGACGGGGGTCTGAACTCAGGTCTTCATGCCTTTGAGGCAAACACTTTACCAATTAAGGATTACTATTCCTAATTAATCAAAGAACTGTTTGAAAAGACATAATGTTACATTGGCTGGCAAATAAATGGTTCGGTGTGTAAAGGTGCTTGCTGCCAAGCCAGACAACCTGAGTTTGATTCCCCAGAACACACATTATGACAGGAGAGAACCACCTGCAAAAAAATTGTCATTTAACTTCCACACATATGCCATGGCACACATGTACCCCTATGCATACCCATACACACAAAATTAATAGATAAACAAATGCAATAAAATTGTAAATGAAATAATGTTTCATAATGGTCCTAATATTAATTTTTTAAACTTTGCAATATTGAAATTGAATTATTTACATAAACTGATACTTGTTGTTACTCAAGCTTTAGTAGAACAATTTTTTTTTTACAATTGAAACAACCAAATATTTAGAGACATAACTTTTGTTTTTCAGGTAAAACCCATCAATGCTTTGAAACAGAACTGCATTGGCTAACTCTATATCTAAGATCTAAGATAAACTGTACCTCTTCCAAAGACCATGGTGAAAGAAAAGAAAAAAGCAGACAAGAAAGGGGATAAGTCTGCTCGCTCTCCCTCCTCTACTTCTGATTACCCAGAAACTTCCAAACAAGATGGCAATGCTGGGAAGCAGGAAGTACCCCCCAGTGTCATGCCAGTATTGGAAATGCCACTCAAGACATCAGCACCCAAACGAGAATCCATAAATATGTATCAGAATGAAGATGAAACCCAGTATGAAGAGCCCATCCTGACCAAACTCATAGTAGAAAGGTAACTTTCCCAGGGCGTGACAGGGCCAGACTATAAACCAAATGTCATATGAAAGTATGTTTTGATCAGGGCATGTAAATCCTCCACATTTTTGTTGTTGTTGGGTTTTGTTTTTGTTTGTTTGAGACAGGGTTTCTCTCTGTAGCCTTGGCCATCCTAAAACTCACTCTGTAGACCAGGTTGGCCTTGAACTCAGAGATTCACCTGCTTCTGCCTTCTGAGTGCTGGGATTAAAGGTGTGAGCCACCACCACTACCACCTGGCTCATGCAGTTTTATGATTCTGCTGTTCCCTACATCCAAAAATACTTTTGTAAGTGTGGAACTCACTGATTTGTTTGGATGCTCTGGCCAGCAAGCTCCAGGGATCTTCTTGTCTCTGTTTCCCCAGTGCTGAATGCTGGAATTACAAAGGTGTACCACAATGCCTAGCTTTCTCTCCCTCCCTCCCTTCCCTTTCTTTCTTTCTTTTCTTTTTTTTTTTTTTTTTGATGTGGGTGTTGGGCTCTGAACTCAGGTCCTCATGTTTGTATGGCAGGTAACTTATTAACTGAGTCATTTTCCCAGCTCAAAACAAAAAAACTTTTTAGGAACAGTTTTTAAAGATTTATTTATTTTTAATTTTATGTGTATGAGTGTTTGCTTGTGTGTATGTCTGTGCACCACATGTGTGTCTGGTGCCCACAGAAGCCAGAAGAGGGCATCAGATCCCCTAGAACTGAAGTTACAGGTGGTTGGAATCAAACCCAAGTTATCTGGAAGAACAAAAGTTCTCTTAACCACTGAACCATCACTCCAACCCCTCAAGAATATTTTTATCATGGTAAAGCATACATAAAATTTGCTATTTTGACCATTTAAAATATATAATTCAAAAATTTTAAAATTTTTTAAAAATAAAATATATGTATAATTCAGAGACTAGTAAGATGGCCCAGTGGTTAAACCGTTGGCCATACAAACATAAGGACCAAAGTTCATATCCCCAGAAACTTAGGTGAATGCTGGGTGAGCATGGTGGTTCACCAGTCTGCAATTCCAGCTTTGGAAGACAGAGACAGGGAATCCACCAGTCTGCAATTCCAGCTTTGGAAGACAGAGACTGGGAACCCCCTGAACAAACTGGCTAGAAAGACTAGCCATATTGGCAAGCTCTGGGTTTGATTGAAAGACCCTTTCTCAAAAATGGGTGTGATGGAAGAGCAGTGAAGGATGATTCCAGATCACTTGCATGTGAACACATAAACCACCCCTCCACACAAATACAGAGATTTAAAAAAAAATAGAAATAAAATGTATAGTTCAAATTATTAAATGCATTCACAGTATTTTACAGCTATCATAGAGCTCTGTTTCCAGAATGTTCTGTTCCTCTTCCCAGACAGAAATTCTGTATCTGCTAAACTCCATGTACCACACCAACGGGCACATGCCCCTGATATCCTATATACTTTAACCCACCATCACACCCACACTTCTCATGAGTTTAAACTCTTTTTTTTTTTTTTATAGCTATGAAGGGGAGACAGTCCGGGGACTGTATGAGGGAGAAGGCTTCGCTATCTTTCAAGGTGGAAGTACCTATCATGTAAGTCATAATTATTGGACCCAGGAGGACTGGGGAAAAGGGTGGGCTGAAAGGCTTGCAAGCCTTGAATGATTTCCACTGATTACTCTAAAACCATTAGAACTACTACACACTGCTTTTATCCTGAAACCCAGCCACTCACTTGAGGCAGAGTATGACTCAGTATAACTGAAGTACTTTTATTTCCTGATTTTTACCTATAGACAAGGCATAGATATGTCACTAAATAAAAACAGTTATCCATAGGCTCAATACCAAAGTTGGATGCTTAAGTCCCACACACAAAATGTTGTAGTGTTTGTGTCGACCCAACATATACCACTGGGACTAGAGAGATAGCTCAGCAGTTAAAAATGTTTGTTGCTTTTGTAGAAGAGGACTCGTGTTTAGCCTGTTTAGTTCCCAGCAACAGAATGGCAGTTCATTACTACCTTAACTCCAGATCCAGGGGATATGATACCCTCTTCTGGCCTCTGTAAGTACTGCACTTGTGTGCAAATGTGTGAACAGGCACACACATGCGCACAAATAACAAGAAATCTTAAAAAAAAAAAAAATAGAACCCACACTTGACAGGCAGAGGCAGGCAGATCTCAGGAAGTTTGAAGCCAGCCTGGTTGACAAAGCAAGTTTCAGGACAGCCAGGAATGTTACACAGAGAAACACTGTCTTGAAAAAAAAATAGAACTGACACACATCCTCCCATATACTTTGTTGCTGTTTGTTTGTTCTTGTGGTACTGAGGATGGAATCCAGGACCTTGAGTGTGCTATCCAAATGACCTTGAGTATTCTATGCAAGTGCACTGCCACCGATTTGTACCCCACTGCCCTCACATATTCATTGTCATATCTGTACAATTTACAATACTGAATGTCATGCAAATGATATGCAAATAGTTGTTAGACTGTACATTTTAGGGGAGAGATGATCTTTTTTTTAAAAAAAAAAGTACATGTCTAATACAGATGCAATTGTTGTAGTCCTAACTACATAGTAAATGTCAGTAACAATCTAACTTCTTCCCCCCAAATGTTTTCTATCTACATTTGGTTCTGTCTACAGTTTTAACACAGATGCTGCTCTAGTTAGTTTTAATTGTCAACTTGACATAGCCTAGAGTCACCTGAGAAGGGAGTCTCTATTTAGGGGTCACCCAGGTCAATGTGGTCTGTAGGCATATATGTGGGGGTTTGTGTTGATCGTTGATTGATATAGGAGGGACCAGTGCACTGTAGGTGGTGCTATTCCCTAGGCAGATGGTCCTGGACTGTATAAGAAAGCTAGGTAAGTAAAAAGCCAGCCAACAGTATTCCTTCATGGTTTCTGCTTTAAGTTCCTGCTTGAGTTACTATTCTGACTCACTCAATGGTCTGTGAGCTGGAAGTGTAAACCAAATAAATCCTTTCTCTCTAAGTTGCTTTTGGTCAAAGTGCTTTATCACAACAACAGATATGAAACTCAGGACAACTTCAACGAGCAGAGTCTTGGGCCTGGGGAGGTAGGGGTGCACAATGGTAGATCACTTGCCTAACATGTGTGAAATCCTAGATCCATCCCTGGCACTGCAAAAAATAAAACCAAGGAACCAAAAAGAGCAAACCTCAGTTTCACTGTCGTTTTGCTATAAATATACTCAATTAGCATTGTTTCTTTCATTCTTTGAATAGATACATCAGTACTTTATATATTAATCACATAATGATAGATTACAGTTTGAATTGTTTTCACTTACAAGATTTTGTGAATTTACTATATGGTTTTCATCATTGTAGAACCCACACCAAAATACAAGATAAATTTAAAAATGTTTTGATGCATCGTAAAGCATACACAACATTTGTTATTATAACCTTTTAAAGTGGACAGTCTAGTGGCCTTCAGCATATCCACATCATTGTACAGCCATCACCCTGACCACCCAGAACTTTCTGATCATCCTAAACTGAAGCTTGGCACCAGGAATCAATAATTCCCTGGCTTACCTGACAGGTCATTGTGATACTGCATAATGCTCAAAATTGCTAAATGCAACTAACTGCCATAATTATTGGTCTTTTTAAGATCCTTCCTTTTTTTTTTCAAGACAGGGTTTCTCTGTGTAGCTTTGGAGTCTGTCCTAATGATCCTTCTATTTTTTTTAACCTTTATTTGTAGGACACAACTAAGATACTCATTTGTTCATTCAGATTATCAGAAATATAATAATAGTAGAATAATTCTTAAAGTGTTTTAATCTTATGTATATGTCTGTGTTCCATGTGTGAACAGATGCCCATGGAGGCCAGAAGAGGGCATTGGATTTCCTTGAGCCTAAGTTATAAGCATGTACATACATATCAATATACATGTAAACATCTGTCAGTACACAGTCATATGCACATGCACACTGATAATTTCCAGTAGGAGAAAACAAAGTATGAAACTTACAAACATGATGTGTCTGATAGTTGAATGATAGTTTTAATTGGATCTGCCTAGTGTAATTTGTAATATATTTGTAATATATGTGTATATATTTGTAATTTAGATACATGCACTACATGCAAGTGTGCCCCCCCACACACACACACATGGTTTGGGGTTTTTTATTGTTGTTTGGCTTGGTTTCATTTTGCAATGTAGGGGACAGAACCCAGAGCTTTGAACACGCTAGTCAGGCATTCTACCACTGAGCTTCATCCTCAGCCCCAAATCCTGGAAGATCAACGTTCAAAATCAGAAGTATCTGAATTCTTTTGGGCTACAATTCAAATATTTTCCAGGAGCTTACAGAAGAGGATACGACTTTAGTGATCAGATCTAAGTTTTCGGGAAGTTTTAAACTCCTCCTTGGGTCCTTTCTGGCTCAGGATAGTTCACTGTGTGGTGCATGCTCAGAGTAGGCACCACACTGCTGAGGCTGTTGCTGCAGCTGTTCCCATGCAGCTAGCACATTGCTATAGGTAAAGAGATAGACAGAAGATTCCAGTCTATGACTGAGCCACAGTCTGCAGATGCCCAACAGCCACAGCTTCCATCTAAGGTCCACTGTTATTTCTTTCATAGGGGATGTTTTCAGAAGGACTGATGCATGGACAAGGGACTTATATTTGGGCTGACGGATTGAAATATGAGGTAAAGCATTATCATGAGTTAGAGTTAATTGTAGCATTTAATGGTCAAGTTACTGCACTATTTTTAAAGAATTAACTTTTGTTTTTGAGAGAGAGAGAGAGAGAGAGAGAGAGAGAGTGCCTGTTGCTATGTCCAATGAGTTCAGGTACTCTCAAAGGCCAGAAGAGGGTATTGGATCCTATGGAGTCACATGCAATTGGGAGCTACTGATACAAATCATGGAAACCACACTCAGGTTCTCTACAAGAGCAACACATGCTCTTAACTGTTGAACTATCTCTGTAGCTCTCTCTATATACTATTTTTATAAAAGTAAATTAAGTTAGGAATGTTGGTGCACACCTTTAATTCCAACATTTGAAAGACAGGCAGATGTCTGTGGGTTTGAGGTAGCCTGGTCTGCATAGTGAGTTTCAGGACAGCCAGAACTACATAATGAGACTGTCTCAAACACACACACACACACACACACACACACACACACACACACACGTTATTATAGCCAGGACTAGTGTCATGTAATCCCAGCACTTGGAAAGCTGAGGCAGGAGGATTTTTAATTCCATGCTATCCTGAGTGCATAGTAAGACCCTATTTCAGAAACAGAAAAACAAATGAAAAGATAAGCATTAGCAAAGGACAGAAGGATATAGAGACCAGCTTATGTGTTCAATGTAATAACTTCATGACTGTATCAGGTGTCTGGGAATCACTGTAGCTGGTTTTATTTGTTGCTCTAGAGGTGTCCTGTGTGTATGCAACACATTTGGATGGAGTTTGGTGCTTTTCTATATGTCCTCTGCTTGCATAGCACACAGATGTATGTTTAATTCCTCATGTTTTGTATAATACCCAGTTTATGTATTCTCTTTTATTCCTTTATTTTTTCATAATTAAGCCATATACCCATCATGCAGATCTAGCTATTTATACTGACTGCACATATCCCATTATGGGGGGTTTCACAAAGACCATCTGGGTTGCTGGGCTGAGGGGACGTGGATATTTTTAATCTGATTGTGAGAACAGATTTGCCCTCAAGAGACAGTGCCAGTTTCAGCTCCCACCCACAAAACCTGTGAGTGCCTGAAGTGCTGTTCTGGAAATCTCCACTGCAGAGTTACTAATGCCATGATGTTCACAAATGGTAACAGAGACATTTAAGGCACACCCATATAGCACGTGTGTTCAAATGACAGCTGGGCAGCAGGACATGAGCTGCAGAGATATCCAGGGACAGCCAGGGCAGGTTGATCCTCCACTTATGGGAGCCTGGGGATCCAGCCCCAACAGAGTGTTAGGGCCAGACTTTCTGAGAGAACTCTCTTTCCATGTAACACCCCACCTAGCCTGCCACCAGCATTCAAGGTTTCTGATCCCTGAATGGTGGTTTTGCCAGGCAGGTCCTTCTGCTTCACTCACTCTGGAAATTCTCTTGAGTTTGGGGGTCCTCCTTTGCAAGCACAGAGCCCTCCACAAACAGCCCATCAAAGGGGAATCAGGGGTGGGATTGTGGCTCTTGAAGCATCCTCAGACTTGCTTGTTAAGCGGGGTAGCACCAACCAATATACTATCTGGCCAGCAGCCAAAGTCCATGGTTGTGTCCTCTGCTGACTGATTGTTATCTAGTGAATTTAGAGTCTTAGATGTGGCAGGGCACCAGCTTAGCATGTGGGAGCCCTGGGTTCATTCCCCATGACCACTACCAACATTGCCAGCAGAGCCACTCTGGGAGAGAATGGTGCCCATCACCATGAGCTGCTCACGATAAAGGCACCCTCTGCCAACACATGGTGGGTTGTTCAGAAGGTGCCCACGGGGTGGCTCTTAACTGACACACCTACAGGATGTCTCGATGAACCATGAGGAGAGAGGTTTTCTATGGGTGATCAGTACCTGGCTGATCATCCAGACCTCTCCAAGGTGGATCCTGACAGTCTAAAATTGAAGTCAGAACTGGCAGCCACCACATTACCAGGTCACCTGCTTGCTTCTCAGAGCTTTTTGTGAGTGCAGCCTTGCTAGTATTTTATTCTTCCTGGATTTCCATGCACTAGAAGAATAAGGTGAGAGAGGATGAGGAACACAGAAGAGGACATGAGAGGCACATCTACTACTTCCACAGAAGAGCCAGGGGCAGTGGCAGTGATGGTCAGGAGACTCTCAAACAGTCCCTGGATGTGGAGTCCCTTCATTGCCTTCTCCTGTCACTCTGGTCACCATTTTGCTTTAGGGGGACTTTGTGAAGAATATCCCCATGAACCATGGTGTGTACACATGGCCAGATGGCAGCACATATGAAGGAGAAGTAATCAACGGCATGAGGAATGGATTTGGTATGTTCAAGTGTGGCACACTGCCTGTGTCCTACATCGGCCACTGGTGTCAAGGCAAGAGACACGGGAAGGTACGTGAGGTGCATTTGTGAAAGAATCTCATCCATGTGGATGTATGCATGATGTGAAATTAACCATTCATAACACTGTACAACCAACATCACTATTGAGTCTAAAAACATTTTCAGTGCCACAAAATAAAGCAAATATGCATTAGGAAGTTACTCCTCATCCCTCCCACTCCACACCCCTAGGAATTATCTACCAATTCATTACTGTGTATGTGGATTTACTTCTTAGACATTGTGTCAGTCAGACTTTTTGTCACTGTAACAAAAACCCTTGCCAGGCATGGTGGCACATGACTTTAATCCCAGCATTTGTGAGGCAGAGGCAAGTGAATCTCCATGAGTTCAAGGCCAGCCTCATCTATATAGAGAGTTCCAGGCCAACCAAGAGACATAGGGAGACCTTGTCTCAAAAGAAAACAAAGCAAACCCACCACACCTTTGTTTTGAGACAAGCTCTTACCCTGCTGCCCAGGCTGTCCAGGAACTTACTATGTAACCCAGGCCGATCTCTAACTTGGGGTGATCGTTCTGCCTCACTGCTCAAGTGTGGGGAGTATAGGTATGAGCCACCATGCCTAACAAGGTGAAACTTGTTATCTGTTCCATGCCTTCTTAGAACATGTTATTATAAGGCATTTGTTGGTGTGAGTAGGAAATGTTCCTCCCAGGCTCATTTGTGGGGAACTTGGCCTCTAGCTGATGGTCCTAATTGGAAGTTTCTGGAAAAAAGGCAAGGTCAACCTGTGAGCCATGGGCTCTGTGCATTCCCAGATACCATGAATAAGGCCCAGCACACTTATAGATAGCAACATCAAGTCTCAATGTCAAAAAGTTGGGTGGCCCTGATGGGAGGTGAGACCTAGCTGGAGAAAGCAGATCACCAGGAGCTGGTCATCTGGGAACTAGCTTGTCCCTGGTCCCTTCCTACTCCTCTATACTTCCTGTCTGTCCCAGGTGAGCAGCTTCTGCCAAATGACCTACTGCCATGGCCCTCCACCTTACCACTGACCCCTAACTAACAGAACTGAGGCTGATGGACTGAAATCTCTGAAACCACAAACCAAAATAAATAATCCCTCCTTAAATTGTTTCTGCAAGATATTTCTCCTCTGAAAACAAAAAGCCTGACTCATACAAGGAATTGCTGACTTGTGATGTTGGTGTACATACTTTACCCTTTTCTTTCTCTGTGTTCATGCACATATTTATGGTGTGCATGTGATGGTTAGAGGACAACCTTGGATGCTTATCCTCATCTTTTACTTTGTTTGAATCAGGTCTCTTATTATTCACTGCTATGTATAGCGTGCTAGCTAACCGCTGTGCTCCCAGAGGTTCCCCTGTCTCCACCTCCCATTTCCTAGCAGGAATGTTGGGATGACGGATGCTTACACTGAGTGTCAGCTATTTTATGTGGATTCTGGGATCTGAACACAGACCCTCATGCTTGCAGAGGAAGCACTTTTCCACCAAGACATCTCCCCAACCCACTTGATCTGCAAAAACCTATAGTTAGGAAATTACCAATACGGAGTCAGGTAGAAATATAAGGGTATTTAATAGGGAAAAGCCTTACTTACAGAGCGACCTAGCCAGCCGGCGTGGTAGCGGTCTGTACAGCAAGCATCAAAGAGAAACCGAAAGCGCAAACGCAGTCACACTATGTCACTCTGACCACGCCCTCACAAGCGTGGTCAGGCACACCTGTAGCCAGCCCCTAAGTAGGCGTGGCTACAGCTTCCCCTACAGTTATGTGTCTTGATAATTACAACATTGACTTCTGCATAGTTTACAGTTCTTAGATTTGTGTGTGTGATCTTTATATTTGCAAGAGGATTTGCATCATGAGGCTTGATTTCTCCTAATATTGTTTGTTTTAGGGCTCCATCTATTACAATCAAGAGGGAACCTCTTGGTATGAGGGAGATTGGGTATACAACATCAAAAAGGGCTGGGGAATAAGATGGTAAGTACGATCCTTCCCTCCACATTTGGGTTGTGGGTGAAAAGCTTTCAGAGGCTCATTCTATTCGCACTCAGGCTAAAGATGAGGTGCAGGAATGATGTAGAACACATTTTCTGTCCAAGTATAGTGGAGTTTTCAATTACTCTGGATAGACTCTACATAGTAATGAAAACATTCTCTGAGAAATTCATAAAAACATACTAAGTGTCTGATGGTATGTTTCACTTGGTTATTAAGTAGAAACCACCTTCCTCTGTCCTCTGTTCATCACAGATCACATTCCTGAATGGTTTCTAAGGAACAGCAGTATTTTTGTTTGATTTTAAATTGAGCTGATAGTCATTTGTTGTTGTTATTTTAGTTTTAGTAGTGCTAGGGATTGTACCCAAGGGCCTGCCACATACTAAGCAAGCTCCCTGCTACTGGGCTGCCACCAAAGCACCATTTGCTCTTTACATGCAAGGTCTTGCTGACCTTAAACTCCAGAGTCTCTTCTCTGCCTTCCAAGTGCTGGGATTACAAACCTTTACCTCCATACCCAGCAAGGTTATATATTTTTAAGGTTTATTTATTTATGTGTGTGTGTGTGTGTGTGTGTGTGTGTGTGTGTGTGTGTGCGTGTGCATGTGCATGCACATATGTGTTGGTGCCTTTGAATCCAGAAGAATGTGTCCAGTCCTCCTGAGCTGGAATTACAGGTGGTTGTGAACTGTCCGACATGGATTCTGGGAAAGGGAACTCTGGTCCTATAGAAGAGCAGCAAGTGCTCTTAACCACTGGGTAGGGAAATAGATTAGTCAGTAATGGTCCTGCCAGCAAAGCATGGAGATCTGACAAATCCCCAGTACCCATGTAAAAAGCTAGGAATAGCTGGGCAGTGGTGGCACATGCCTTTAATCCCAGCATTCAGGAAGCAGAGACAGGTGAATCCCTCTGTGAGTTCCAGGCCAGCCCAGGACAGTTAGGGCTACACAGATAAACACTGTCTCAAAAATAGGAAGGAAAGGGGGCTAGAGAGATGGCTCAGGAGTCAAGAACACTGACTGCTCATCCAGAGGTCTTGAGTTCAATTCTCAGCAACCACATGGTGGTTCACAACCATCTATAGTGGAATCCAGTGTCCTCTTCTGACATAAAGTCATAAATGCAGATAGAGCACTCATATACATTAAATAAATAAATAAATCTTTAAAAAAAAAAAGCTGGGTATAGCAGCATGTGCCTGTAACCTCAGCACAGGGAAACAGAAACAGGGGGATCCTTAAAGCTTATTACAGATGAATTGATGAGCTTCCGGTTCAGTGAGAGACCCTTTCTCAAAAAATAAAGATGAAGAGCAACAGAGGAAATGCTCCTGGTGTCAGCCTTGGGCCTCTACATACACATGTACACATACAACATACATGCCCAACAATACATAGTGTTTAGTGATAAACTATTAAGTAATCACAGCACAATAGGAGTTGTTTCTAAACAACTCCTCACTCTTACCCATTATTTGAATAATGAAGAGGTTTAATAAAGGGAAGTATTTCACTCCCTAATATGAGTATTTTGGCCAACCATGTGCTACCCATTTTCAGTACTGGGAACAGTATCCTGGGACCTGGGTCCTGGGTGGGATTTCCTGAGAAGTGTTCGGGGGTGAGTTTAAGAGTTTTAAAGGCAAATGTTGTTTGTGTGAGCTAACCAATTGTTCATCGTTTGTTTCTTTGGTCCCAGCTACAAATCAGGAAACATATATGAAGGCCAGTGGGAAAACAACATGCGCCATGGGGAAGGCAGAATGAGATGGCTGACAACAAATGAGGAGTACACTGGTCACTGGGAGAAAGGGATTCAGGTAGGCACCTGTCCATCACATGGGTCACAGCCTGAGGTGGGAGTCGTTCTAATCGTCCACCCAAGCTATTCAGAATAATACCACAGTATCTAGCATTTAAGCACTACACATCTAAGAAACTCGTAATGGTTAGTGTTACCTCACAGAATCTAGAATCTCCTGTGAGGGGGACCTCTGGGACAGCCTGGGATACGTCATTTTGATTACTTTAATTGATGCGGGAAGGGACCATTCCCTGGGTGAGGAATTCTGCACTGTATTAACTGGAGAAAGCTGGCTGAGCATGCATCCACTGCTGTCTGCATGACTACGATGCAGTGGGACCAGCTGTCTCAAGCTCCTGCCACTGGGTATTTTATCACAGTGACAGAAAAGAAACTAAAACACAACACATAGTTATAGTTTACTAGTCTCAGCCACACCTTTTTTTTTTTCAAGGCAGGGTTTCTCTGTGGCTTTGGAGGCTGTCCTAGAACTAGCTCTTGTAGAGCAGCCTGGTCTTGAACTCACAGAGATCCTCCTGCCTCTGCCTCCCGAGTGCTGGGATTAAAGATGTGTGCCACCAACGCCCGGCTTCAGCCACACTTTTTAATCGAGGTTTTATTATTTAGTCTTCTGTAATGGCCTCACACATCTTTGATCCAACCTACAAGATAGATGCCATTTCCATTTTATACTTGGAGAACCTAAAGGGCTGGAATCATTTGCCTTGGTTAAAAAAAAAAAAAAAAAAAAGACAGCTAGTAATCAGCTGAGCTGAGGCAGAACCCAACACTGGTTCTAGATTCATGTGCTCTATCTACCCCTTCAAGTTATCAGTGTCTTTGCCATAATTTGAGTTTAGGTAAAGGGGGGAGCATTCTGAGGATTTATGCTGACAAGTTGTTTTCTTCTCAGAATGGCTTTGGAACACATACATGGTTCCTAAAGAGGATCCCCAACTCTCAGTATCCTTTGAGAAATGAATACATAGGAGCATTTGCAAATGGATTCCGTCATGGACAGGGGAAGTTTTACTATGCCAGTGGAGCAATGTATGAGGGAGAATGGGTTTCCAACAAAAAACATGGCAGGGTGAGTATAGCTGGTGAAATACAATGAAAGATGTGTATCTGGTAAGTTGCATTTCATTTTGTAAAGATAACTATTTTAGTTAGGTGATTGCATGCATTTGGAGCTATTTACAACCTATTATATATTTCCTGGATATTTAGAAATGATTTAATCAGTTTTTGTTATATATGTGTACAAATAAATGAGGGTGCTGGTTGCAAGTTACAGTCTAGTTTCAACTTTCATATATACTAGCAAGGTGGGCTTTGGGGCTGGCTTGCACTATTAACAGTGATGTCATCATTCTTTCCTGTCTACCCATATGGCAGCTTTACTCTTGCATTGCCCCTTTCTAGTCATTACAAGATAGCTACTGTGATCCCAGGCTTCACATTGCACACTCCACTAAGAAAAGGAAAAGCAACTCATTTCACAGAGCTGACCTGGGTCATTTGTCCACCTCAGAATCAATACTTCCCATCCTGGGGTTGACAGATAGCAGGGCAGTACCTATGGGGATGGGCCCTCTGCTGGCCATTCAGAACATTTAATTAGGTCCTTTCTGTGGCCTGGAGGTGATCAAACTTGGGGAGAGATTGGAAAACCAGGGCAAAGGAGGAGGTGTAATATGAAACCTGATGGAGGATGATTCTTTTGTGGTCTAAGTACATATCTTCTAAACAAAAAGCTCCAAACCCTTGAAAACTCTACTGATGAACACTGAGTAATATTCCTTCTGAACCATTCAATGTTGTGTTCCTACCCGCAGGGCAGAATGACTTTCAAGAATGGACGTGTGTATGAAGGTCTGTTTTCCAATGACCACATCGCACAGTTCCTTGAAGCTGAAATCGATTACACACACAGCCTGGACCGTCGGTCAGATGGATCCCAAAGGAGCTGGCAGCCTCGGGGATCTTCTGCCAGTGCTAGTAGGGAGCCTGGTGGGTGAAAGTAAATTAATATCTTATTTATTTATTTATTTATTTTTGGTTTTTCGAGACAGAGTTTCTCTGTGTAACAGTCCTGGCTGTCCAGGAACTCACTTTTGTAGTCCAGACTGGCCTTGAACTCACAGAGATCCATCTGCCTCTGCCTTAGTGCTGGGATTAAAGGAGTGTGCCACCATGCCGGGCCCTACAAATTAATATCTTATGTGTAGTTTTCACTCATAAAAATATGGCAGGAAAGTTATGCTTATTTGTTTTTGTTTGTTTAGGCAGGCTGACCTTGAACTCATTGACTAGCCATGAATAATCTTGAACTCCTGATCCTCTGTCCTCCACCTCCCAAGTACTAGGATTACAGGAGTACACCACTGTGCCCAGTTTTGTGTAGTGCTAGAGATGGCACCCAGGACTTCATGTGTGTTAGCCAAACACTCTACCAACTGAGCTACATTAGCTAGGCTAATGTTCAATTAGTGGTTTGTTTTCTTCCATTACTATGGGAACTTCTAGTGCTCTATCACTGAACTGTTTCCAAACCCTTCTTTTGAATTTTTAATTTAAAAATGCTTTTATTTGTTGTTTGTGTGTGTGCATGTGGTGGTCAGAAGACAACTTGGTGATGTCCATTTATCCTTTAACCATGTGGGTCCCAGGGATCAAACACAGGTCATTAGCTTTGGCAGCAAGCACCTTTATTTACTGAGCCATCACAGTGGCTCTTAGTTTTTAATTTTGAAAAGGAGTATAAGTTGTTCAGGCTGGCCTTAAAATCTATCTGTAACACAGGCTGATCTTGAACTTAGAATTCTCCTGCCTTGGCTTCTTCAGCCACTGTGATATATAAATAGGCCCATGCCACAATGTCTGGTTGTTGAATACTCTTCTATCACATTTTGATAGATAACCATTCTGATGTGACATTGAAAGGATTTCTTTTAGAGATTTGTTTGTATTTATATACATGTACATGTCTGTGGGTGCCCCCAGAGACCAGAAGAAGGTGCTGGATCCCCTAGAGCTGGATTTACAGACAGTTCTGAGTTGCCTGTTATGGATGCTAGGAACTATACTCAGGTCCTCTGGAAGAGCAGCAAACTCTCCAGCCCACATTAGAAGGGTTTACCATTGCTTTTCACAGTCATCTCCCATATTTGCTTCATTCATTAGAAACCCTCCGAAAGTTGGATGGCAGCGAAAGCCATTCTGTGTTAGGATCAAGTATTGAGCTGGACTTAAATTTGTTGCTGGACATGTACCCTGAGGAAAGCCAAGAAGAAGAAAAGAAGCAGGTAAAACCCCTTTGCCATTATACACTTATATTTTAGGCACTGTTTTTGTCTTCTGTGTGCCTGGGGGTCGCTCTATCTAGACCATCTCAACTCTGTAGTGAGCAGGCTCTGTGAGAGAAAGGTAGCCCAGAAAGCAGGACTCAGTGGCGTTGCCCAGGCTCAGAGCAACTGAAGCCCAAGGCTGTCATCATTTTCCAATAGTGGAAGGAGGGTCACAGGGACTGCTAGCAGTCAGAAAACCCTGGGCTCCCTAGGAATCAAGAGACCCACTGTGGGGCTGGAGAGATGGCTCTGTTAAAACATTTGTTGCAGACAGACAGTGGTGGCATATGTTGTTAGTCCCAGAACTCGGGAGGTAGAGGCAGGTGGATCTCTGTGAATTCCAGGTCTACAGAGTAGGTTCCAGGACAGCCAGAGTTGTAACACAGAGAAACTCTGTCTTGAAAAAACAAACAAAAAAAAAAGAGCATTTGTTGCTCTTGGAGAGAACCTGGCTTTGATTCCTAACACTTACATAGTGGCTCGTAACCATCTATAACTCAATTCCAGGGGATCCTACTATGCCTTTGCACTAGTCATACATGTAGGCAAAACACTTATACATATAAACTAAAATAAATAAATCTAAAAATAAAAGAGGCAGAAGAAGAAAGAAACCTGCTATGCTGGGGCTGCAAAAATAGCTCAGTGGTTGTTGAGAGCTGCTCTTCCAGAGACTGCAGGTTCAATTCCCAGCACCCACATGGTAAAGCTAACAATCATCAGTAACTCAGTTACAGGGGCTCCGAAACCTTCTTCTAGACTTCACAGGAACTGCATGCATATGGTGCAGTGACATGTGTGCAAGCAAAACACCTATACACAAAAAATGTCAACATCTAAAACACAAGAAGGAAACCCAGTGTGTGTGATGGCACAGTGGGTGCCGGGGACTGAGCTCAAGTCCTCTGCAAGAGGAGCTAGCACTCCTAACCACTGGGCCATCTCTCCAGCCCCTTAGTTTTGCTCTAATGAGGCACAATTAGGCCACATGTGCTGCCTTCTTTTCAGGTAGAATTTGCAGTCCTAAGGAACATCACGGAGTTAAGGAGAATCTACTGCTTCTACAGCGGCCTCGGGTGTGACCACTCTCTGGATAACACCTTTCTGATGACAAAGCTTCACTTCTGGAGATTTCTGAAAGACTGTAGGTTTCATCACCACAATATAACCCTTGCAGATATGGACAGGGTACTAAGTGGTGAGTGTTCCAGCTTCTCTTCCTCTCTTGGTTACTGCTACCTGGAAACAAGCTAAAAAATGGTGAGAGATGGCTCAGCATAAAAGCCTCTGCCCAAACCCAAACAAATAGACATGGAGACAAAAGAACACAGTAGACATGAGGCTTTAATGACAGTCTTGCAAAAGTAGTATCTGGCCATGGGGATCATTATAAAAGAGGGAATGGAAATTCCAGGAGCCAGAGGAGATGGACATCTGCAATGAAAAAGTATTTGCCAGACATGACAGGGCCATTGCTCATACAAACTCACAGCAGCCATGACTGCATGTCAAGACCTGCACAAAGCCAGGCGTTGGTGGCACACGCCTTTAATCCCAGCACTTGGGAGGCAGAAGCAGGCGGATCTCTGTGAGTTCGAGGCCAGCCTGGTCTCCAGAGCGAGTGCCATGATGGGGTCCAAAGCTACACAGAGAAACCCTGTCTCGAAAAACCAAAAAATAAATAAATAAATAAAGACCTGCACAAGATCAAGCCAGCCCAAATCCCAACTGCTCACAAAGTCTCACCCCTAGTTGAAAAGCCATTAGTAATTGACAGCTGCTGGGGAAGGGAGAGTCAGCTTTCTTCAGGGATGTGGTCCCTATAAGCAAACCATATTCAAGTGGTCCTACACCTACTCACATAGAGGTAGCATTAAGTGGACTCAGTGGGTTTTAAAAAGGAGCACACGAACTTGGCAAGGAAAGGTGGTAGCGATGATAGGAGAGGAGTTGGAGGGGAGGGAATGGGGGGTGTTTGAGCAAACATATGAATGTATGAAATTATCAGTTTTTTTTTCAACACAGGGTTTCTCTGTGTAACAGCCCCAGCTGTCCTGGCACTAGCTCTGTAGACCAGGCTGGCCTCAAACTCACAGAGATCTGCCTGCCTCTGCCTCCCAAGTACTGGGATTAAACGTGTGTGCCACCAGTGACTGGCCAGTTCGACCAGTTTAATCAAGAAATTTTTAAGAACAGGTGTCTGGCATGCAAGCACAGGTGGGGCAAATAAAGAAAACAATTTAGCCAGGCATTGGTAGTGCACGCTGTTAATTCCAGCACTCAGGAGGCAGAGGCAGGAGGATCTCTGTGAGTTCAAGGCTAGCCTGGTCTTCAAAGAGTTCCAGGGGAGTTTCCAAATTTACAGAGAAACCCTGTCTCGAAAAACCAAAAAAAAAAAAAAAAAAAAAAAAAAAAAAAAAAAAAAGAAGAAGAAAGAAAGAAGGGAGGAAGGAAAATTTATCCTGTATGTAAATGGCTTCTCAAGTTCCTCGTTGGCTGAGTGTTCAGGGGGGCACCCTCTTACCAGGACATCACCTAAGTTTATTATCCCCTCACAGCATATACTGTCTGCCCTTCTCCTCTTATGTCCACATCCCACAACAAGGATTTGCTTGTTGGCCTCCCACTTCCACAACAACTTGTTAGCAAACACATGGACCTGGTCACATAAGCAGGTTGCCTATTGATTTTTTTTTTCCACTCGGAGATAAACTTCTTTTTGAGTTGGGGGTAGCCAGGAAGCCTAGACAAGCAGGGGCCAGGTGCATCCTGCTTACCTGTAACTTTGTAACTTGTAAGACTAACTGAGGCACTTGTGCATTGAAAATGGACTGTCATAGTTTTCTCCCTGCACTTAGTGGTTAAGAATGCTTGCAGCACCCATGCAAAAAGTCAGTCACAATTTCATGTGCCTGTAACCCAACATTGGTGGGCAGATAGATTCTGAGAATTTTCTAGCCAAGTTCTCAGTGAGAGAGAGACCCTGCTTCAAGGCAGTAAGGTTAAGAACAATAGAGGAAGATACTTGATGACCTGGTATGGCCTCAGTGTGCCTATGCATGCATAGGTGTGCCCATTGACAAACTAAGTACATGTACCCCACATACATACATGTACATCCATGTCCAGTGCTAACAGAGGGAAAACAAAGGTAGGAAGAGAATCAAAAGTCAGCGAATGACCTGCCTAGGTACTTGAGGGTAACTGCAGGCAGTGAGAGCAGTGATCAAATACCACCCAAGCAGAGGTCCATGTTATGGCCCTTGTCTGAATCCAGCCCCAGTTTGTGCTTATAAGTCCAGCTTTCCTGGAGCACAGCCAGGTGCCTCTGTTTGCAGGTTCTGGTGGCTGCTTTTGCCCTGTATCACAGAGCTTAGTAGTTATGACAAAAGTCTATCTGAAACATAGAGCCTCAAGCATTCACTGTTGGACTCTCACAGGAAAGTTTGCCTCACCCAATCTGTTGGGTGAGCAGGGGGATGGCTACTAAACTGTTATGTCAGAAGCAAGAGGGATCAGGAAAGACTCAAAAAACTATAAAAAAATAAAAATAAAAACAATAGGGAAATTTAGGATTAGCCTGGATTTCAAATCAGAAGATTCAAGCCATTAACAACCTTGAAGGTTTTATTCCTTTCAGATGAGTTCCGGGAGGAAGAACTGAAAGTCTTAAATTTATCTACTTGAAAAATAAAATATTAGCCGGGCAGTGGTAGCACACGGGAGGCAGAGGCAGGCGGATCTCTGTGAGTTTGATGCCAGCCTGGTCTTCAAAGAGAGTTCCAGGACAGTCTCCAAACCTACAGATTAACCCTGTCTCAAAAAAACCAAAAAGAAAAAAGAAAAAGAAAATATTAGAGAAAGGGACTGTAGAGATAGTTCAGGGGTTAGGGGCATCTGCTGTTGCAGAAGACCCAACTTTATTTTCAGCATCTACATCAGATGGCTCACAACTGCCTGTAACTCCAGCTTCAAAGGGATCCAATGCCCTTTTCTGGCATTGCCAGGCACCTGCATGCAAATGCACATACACATAATTAAAAATAGCCGGGCGTTGGTGGCACATGCCTTTAATCCCAGCCCTGGGGAGGCAGATATATATATATATATATTTGATGTGTCTAGGTTGAGAGCCTAGCCTTTAATGGCTGAGCTATCCCTCCAGCCCATAATCTTGGCTTAAATTAGAGAAGATACCTGTTATCTTCTAACTTAATGGTTAAAAACATACTTAAACTCCATGTAGAATTGGGGGCAATGGTGTAATACTGATATCCATAAGTCCAGTATTTTGGAGGCTAAGGCAGGAGAATTTTGAGTTCCAGGCCAACCTAAGATACATAGTTAGACTCTGTAACACACAGACACACACACACAATGTGGGAACAAAGATACCTTGTAAATGTCTCATAATGTAACTGGAACTCTTCTGTGTAGTAGCTGATCTCACCAAGCTTTTCTTTCAGTCTATAATGGCATACCAATTGAAGAAATCCACTCTCCATTCAGAACTATACTCTTAAGAACATTCCTGAATTACCTCCTGCAGTTGGCTTACCACATCCATCACAAAGAATTCCAGTAAGTGTCACTTCTGTGTCCCTGCAAGGGCCCCCAGCAGACCCTCAATAGTAGCCTTGGTCATTTTCACACACTCCACATGAAGGACTAGAAGCAAAGCTGTTCTACAGAGTCCAACCACAGTGCCCAGGTACTAGATGAAAACTTGGGAATCCCCACTGGTTTATTTCAGTTCTGTAAATATCCCTTAGAGCTTTACTCTGTAGTTACAATCAGTTCTGCCTTCTAGAGTTGGAACACCCTTTCTTAATGACTTTTGTTTGTTTGTTTGTTTGGTTTTTGGTTTTTGGTTTTTCGAGACAGGGTTTTTCTGTGTAGCTTTGGAGCCTATCCTGGTACTCACTCTGGAGACCAGGCTGGCCTCGAACTCACAGAGATCCGCCTACCTCTGCCTCCCCAGTGCTGGGATTAAAGGCGTGTGCCACCAACACCCGGCATTACTTTTTAAATGCATTTTAAGGGCTGGGAATGTGGTTCAGTTGGTAGACTACTTTGGATTCCTATGTATCCTGCACCCAGATTCCCCTAGTGGCAACCTCTTACTCACCATAGTTGATTATTCAAAAGCAAGGACTCGACACTGCTACAGTGTCATTGAACTCAGAGCCTGCTTTCAAACATGGTGGAAGGTGAGGACTAAAACCTGAGACCAAAGCATGCTAGGCAGACATTCTACTACTTAGCTTCGTCCCCAGCCAAAAGTTGCCATTTCCCATGATCCCTTTTCTGTCCTAGGAGTTCACACTGTATTTTGCCTCCAAAGTGTCTCAGACCCTCCAGTCTGTGACAGTTACTCAGCCTCTGTCTTTCACGACCTTCCCATCTTAAAAAAAAAAAAAATACTGCTTGGTCATTTTGTAAAGTGTCTCACTGTTTGTTTGCACAGTGATGTTTCTCTCACAATTGCACTGAGGTGAGACATTTGGAGCAGAATACTAGGTTCAAACTTCTTAGATTTTTTTGTGCATGTTTATGATATGCGTGTATGATTTATGTGTGTAATGTGTGTGTGCAGGCATGCATGTGGCAGTCAGAGGACTATCTCAGGTACCAGTCCTCACCTTCCACCTTGTTTGACACAGATCCGTTTGTTGTTTGACACTGTGTCCACCACTCTAGCTGGCCTGCAAACTCTGGGGACCCTCCTGTTGCTGTCCCCATCTACTGGAGAGCTCTGGCATTTCAGACACATGCTCCTTCAGCGGCTCTGTGTGGGTTATGGTATGGGCAGCACATAACTTCTATATGGCTTATTAGTAAAGTAAAGTGTTGCCAGATAGACTTCCCTACTATAAACTTACTCTGCTTCCCTTTCTATATTTCATTTGTTAGAAGCCAGTTGTCAAATCTAGCCCACACTTCAGAAGAGGGAAGTTAAGCTCCATCTCCTGGAATAATTATGGTATCTTTTTCATTGTAGGAACAGAAGCCCATCACTCTTTTTGTGTTTTACAAAACTGATGACTGAGAACATTCATCCACATGCCTGCCAGGTAAAAGGTAAATACAAAAATAATAGGATTATATTTACTATCTTTAAAAAAATAGTTCCATAATATTTTTTGCATGTGTGATATGTTTGTGTATTTGTATGTTTGCATGTGTGTAGACATGTGTTGTGCAGGTGTGTGTGTGTGTGTGTGTGTGTGTGTGTGTGTGTGTATGCATATAAGCCAGAGTTTGACATCAGGTATCTTCCTCCATTGGTCTTCACTTTATTTATGAGACAGGGTCTCTCACTTAACTCTGAAATCATTGATCTGGCTAGTCTAGCTAGCCAGCTTGCCCCAGAAATCCCATCGGCTTCTAGGGTTATAGGAAGGTTACTATGCCCAACATGATTTGTGGGTGCTAGGGATCTGAACTTCAGTCCTCTTGTTTGCACAACAGTTTTTTTTTATCCCCACTGAGCTGTCTCTCCAGCCCTGTAATCACTTCTGAATGTTGTATTTTTAGGTCATTTATTCAGTGAGCAACAGCGGACACTCTACTCAATGAATTATATTGATAAGTGCTGGGAGATTTATACAACCTACTGCAGACAAAATGAAGCCCCACCCTATGAACTAACAATGAAGATGAGGTATTTCCTCTGGATGCTGAAAGTAAGCTTGATAACTCTTAGGATTGATATTGACTTTATGTTGATAGACACTGATTTTAATTCAAATAAATCAATGCTACATAATTAAGGAGGTGAAGATCTGAGCTGACCTTTCACGGCCACCAAATGTTAACATGTCTCCTTTCACAGAAGACAGTCTGTGATAGCAAGAGGCACGGGCACAGGGATGCCTGCCTGGCATGCTCACAGAACAGGGGCAGGGAAGACCTTCTCATGCACATGTGGCCATTGAGTGGAAGAGATAAACAGCACTTAAAAAGTTTTTGTAATGCATTTGTATTTATTTTTTAATTATTTATTTATTATGTGTACAGTGTTCTGCCAGAAGAGGGCACCAGATCTCATTGTAAACGGTTGTGACCCACCATATTGTTGCTGGGAACTGAACTCAGGACCTCTGGAAGAACAGCCAGTGCCAAAAAAAAAAAAAAAAAAAAAAAAAAAACCAGGACAAAAAAAAAAAAAAACCCCGCAAAAAAAAAAAAAAAGCCAGGGGGTGGGGGCGCCCGCCTTTAATCCCAGCAGAGGCAGGCGGATCTCTGTGAGTTCGAGGCCAGCCTGGTCTCCAGAGTGAGTGCCAGGATAGGCTCCAAAGCTCACAGAGAAACCCTGTCTCGAAAAACCAAAAAAAAAAAAAAAAAGAACAGCCAGTGCTCTTAACCTCTGAGCCATCTCTCCAGCGCCTGTGTGTGCGCGCGTGCATGCGTGCATGTGTGATCAAGCTTGGTGGCAAGTGCATTTACCCCTCAGGCATCTTGTCAGCCCTAAAGGACCTGATTTTAGTTCTCAGCACCCACCTGGCAGTTCACAATCATCTGTAACTCCAGCTCTATGGGATCTGATGCCTTCTCTTGACCTCCTCCTTGGAGGCATCAGGCATGAATATGGTGCACATACAGACATGCAGGCAAAACATTCATATATAAAAAATAAACATAAAAATTTTTAAACATATTTTTAGCTGGTCAGAACTGGACTGTACCTTGTCTGTGGAACACTTGCCTATGGCACACAAGCCCTGTGTTCAATTCCCAGCACTGCAAAACTAATAAAAATTGTTGCTCAGCAAACAATAATTTTAAAATATATTAGTTTGGAAGCCGGGCATGGTATTAAGTTCCTATAATCCCAGCACTTGGGAGGATGAGACAGGAGGATCAAAAGTTCAAGGTCAGCCTATGCTACATGGTAAGATCCTGTCTCAAAAAAAAAGTTATTAGTGTGAAAAACAATTGACATGTTTTGTATACATCATTCTCAAACTGGTTGCTAGCTTTGTTCCATAATATTTTAAATTTGTACTTGTGGGAATACAAATAATGAGTTGAAAATAATCAAATATTAGTGAGAGAGTATTTAGGAACATATATATATATATATATATATATATATATATATATATATACACATACCTATTGTCTAAATGTAGGGAAATGTGTTTAAAAGGTTGTGATTTGGGGTGAAATATTATACAGCTTTTGTTCTCTTCTTTCCTCATGCTCATTTACTACTGAAGAAACAATGTTATTTGTCCCTTCAGAGGTTGTGCAATGCTGATTTTGACTGGCCATATCCTCACAGTCAGGGTTAACACCTCTTTTCCCCACAAGTCCACAAAAGTGGCGTTAGAAACAGAGACTTGAGTAGATTCAGATGTATTGTGCTCTGCAAAGCCACAGGGGGTTACTAGTCTTTCTCGTTATGCTTCCTTTTAGTGTTGGTGGGATTCATCAGTGGCTCACACTGCTTTCCATAGACCTTTACTGGTGGCCTTAGCAGCCCCCAATTGTCATACCTCAGTGGTAATTAATGTCTACTGTTTCCCTGGAGATGGTACAATAATAACTTTCTGTATTATTTCTATTACATTAATTAAACTATTTTTAAGTTTATGTATATGTGTGCCTGTGTGTGAATATGTGCATGTGTGCATATGCCCTTGAAGGCTAGACGACCTGGGATCCTCTGGAGCTGGAGTAACAAGGGATTTGTGCCACTTAATGTGGGTGCCAGCCAGCAAGCCCTAGGGATCTACCCTCTTCCTCTTCCCTAGCACTGGGATTATAGGTGTTTGTTGCTGTTATAAGCCAGCTTTTTACATGGCTAGTGGGGGTGGAACTCAGGTCCTCACATTTGCACAGCAAGTATGTTACTCACAGAGCCATCTCCCCAGCCCCCCAGCGATTCTTATCTAAAGAAGGGTCTTTCTGTGTAACCCAGTCTGGCCTCAGTCTTGCAACCCTCCTCCCTCAGCCTCCCCATTGCTAGGTCTATAGCTCCAAAATAACCAGTCTTTAAGTACTGACTTCTGATACATCTTCTCAAGGTGTTATGTTGCTATAATGGACGTTCAAATATATACCCATGTGTGTTTATAGGCATCTATGGTTGGTGTTATCTTTTTGCAGGACTTTAGGATGATAAATAAGGACTTAACTGCAACCAAATTTATGACTGTGATAACGGAAGATAACCCTTTCATGTATGATGGAACTGACAGCAACTTTGAACTTGAGGTTTGTAAAGTGTTGCTACAGATGGCACAGATCCAGTTAAGCTGCATGTTTCTTATGCTTTGTGTATACAAAAAAGTGGGATGTGCACATATACACAGTTGTCTTTTCAAAAACCAAAGATTAATATTCGAAAGGACCTGGGGAGATGGCTCAGTTGGTAAAGTGCTTGCTGTGCAAGCATGAGGACCCAAGTTTGATCTCCAGAATCAACATAAAAAAGTCAGATGTGGTGTTTTTATGCTTGTGATATGCTTATGCTGGGGAGGTGGTGACAGGAGGATCTCTGGGACTTGATGGTCAGCCAGCCAGGCTGAATCGGTGAACTCCAAGCCAATGAGAGACCCTATGCCAAAGAGCAAGATGGGGAGCAATAAAGAAAGACACCAGTGTCACCCTCTGACCTCCCCATGCATATATGTATTGTTGTACACGTGCTTAGCACACATACAGAAGGAATAATGAGTAAGAAATCACCAGTCAATCCCTGGTTCATTCTAGAGTGTCAAAATAAATGAGACCTCCATTTGTTTCTTATCATTGCAGCTGGTTTTCCTGGAATTCTTTGAAGCACTCTTATGTTTCTCACTCTGCTGTATTTTTGACCGGATGGCTAGATCCTATTTAAAAGTTCCATATGATGATATTACTGGAAACCGATACGGCAGCATTCATACAATACTAAACCAGGTGACAGACAATACAGTAGAGTTTATAAAGCAAGGGATTACTTCAACCTGGGGTGGTTAGATTCTCATCAAAACTGTCTCAGGCTTTTATTATATATACTTCCAAGAGATAATTTAGGACTTGAGAACACGTACATTGTCTTTCACTGTTGGAAGGAGTTTGTGGTTTTGTTTGTTAAGTTAGGGGAAAATGTATTTCCTAGTATTGGCCACAGCAGTGGAAACAGCACAGTGAAGGTCAGTATGAAAAGCAGCTGGATAGCTGAGAAAATCTGAGGCAAGCTACCATGAGATGCTTTGTCTAATGTACAGAGTGGAAACCCACCTGAGAGCAAAGATGCTGAAAAAGTTTCTGGGTGTGCATGCAATACTGAACAGATTACTGAGCATGAAACTTAACTCACAAGGTGGACATCCTTGAGCACTGTGACCCCTGGCAGAGCCAGGGCTGTGATTTATAAGGAAATGAGACTTGGGTCAACTTGAAACACAACAGATTTCTAGTGGGAATTTCATGTTAGTGAACTTGAAGGGTTTCTGATGTTTGAGACATTTACTTGGAGCCACAAGAGACATTCTCTGAGCCCAACAGCTAGGAGAGTCTTTTGTTTGTTTGTTTGTTTGTTTGTTTGTTTGTTTTAATACCCTCAGTGGTGGGATTAAAGGTGTTCACCACCACACACCCAGCTTGGAAGACTCTTCAGAGCTGCTCATATGGGGAAATGTCTCACAATTGATCCAAGAGATACCTCTCACCACAGATCCCAAGGACGTACCTTGGATTCCTTTTAGGAAACTGGGGCTTCATGTTCCTTTCAGCACTTCACTGCCTATCACATTGGTCAGGTATGCCTGCTTCAGGCAAGTGAGTGTCCACCCTGAATCTTTCTACCATTGCAGAGGGCATAGTAGTTTCCCTTACTATAACTATGTAACAAAGGAAACTAACCTTGTTTAAAAACAGAAATGTAGCTCATAGTCCTGGAAGCTTAAGCACTAGAATCAAATTATGTCCTCCTTACTAGCAGGGTGTCACCCTGGTGACTTTATCCAACAATAACCATTTCCCAAAGACCCATGTCTAAACACTGTAGTCAAATAAGTTAACAACTTACACTTAAACCACAGCAGATGTCGTTCCCATCAGCTCAGTGGTGTGGGTGTGAATATGCCAGACTGGGGACATCCATAGATACCATCTGTTCACCTTCACACCCAGCTTTCAATGAATCATGACTTGTAGTTTCTGTGTTGTTTTTATAGCTCAGGGGCTAGTTCCCTCCCCACCTTCTGGAAACTGGAAGTTCACCCATCCCAGCTTGATCACTGTTCCTTTCTGGGATGAAACTGGCCCTCAGAGATGGTCACCTTAAGACACAGTAGAGCCCTGTCTTTTTTGTCAATTCAACAAATTAATAAACTACAGTGGGCCGGGCGTTGGTGGCATGCACCTTTAATCCCAGCACTCGGGAGGCAGAGGCAGGCGGATCTCTGTGAGTTGGAGGCCAGCCTGGTCTACAATAGTTAGTACCAGGATAGGCCCCAAACCCACAGAGAAACCCTGTCTCAAAAAAAAAAAAAAAAAAAAAAAAAAAAAAAAAAAAAAAGCTACAGTGGTTGGGGGAAGGCAAGATGGAGTGATTTTCTCCAGAGGTCTGCAGACATCTCCAACCCTTATTGTCAGCTGAATGGGTGTGCATGTGTGAAAAGCTACAGGAAGTCAAGGGAAGGATCACCAGAGAAAAATGGAGTGAGACTCAAGCAAGGCTTCTATAGGTGTATTCCCAGTACTGGAGGAGAGAAACCGTTATCACAGGGAGGAAGGCTACTACATCTGAAATGCCCACAAAGGCCCAGGTATTAAAAAGGCCCAGTCACCAGTCTGAAAACAAAAACAAAACAAATCCCCATCTACATGGAATTCAACACTCAGAAAAAAAAAACAAAAAAAACTTTCAAAAATGAAGCTGAAGGCCTGGAGGGCTGGCCAGACAGCTGAGGACACTAGCTGTTCTTTTAAAGGAGCAGAGGCAGGTGGGTCTCTATGCGTTTGAGGCCAACTTGTTCCAGGCCAGCCAAGGCTACAAATGGAGACTTTGTCTCAAAAGGAAAAAAACACTAGCAAATTATGGGGAAGAGAGAGAATCAGATAGCCAGAGGTACCACATTATTAGATTCAAATATTGTTTTAAATAACAACAACAACAAAAAAATCACAGCACATACTAAGAAAACTATACCACATTCAAAAGAAAAAGGGGAGCCCTCAGAGACTTTAGAGAAAGATGAGATAACAGACTTATAAGACAAGGAATTTAAAATAGTTATTTTAAAAATACCTATTTAAAAAGTGAGCTGAGCAGTGGTGGCATGTGCCTATAATCCCAGCACTGGGGGACACAGTGAGTGGCAGGTGGATCTCTGTGAGGTCAAGTCCAGCCTGCCCTACATATAGAGTTCAAGGCCAGCTGGGAGTACATAGTGAGACCTTGTTTCAAAACAAACAACAACAATAAAGACATGATTTTTATTATCTGAGTAAAATTTTATATATATATATATATATATATATATACACACATATATAAAGATACTATTATGTAGGTGTAGTGGCACTTACTTATAATCTCAGTTCTTAAGAGGTAGAGGCAGGAGGATCAGGTGCAAGGTGATCCTGAGCTATGTAGTGAGTTCAAGGCCACTCTGGGCTACCATGAGACCTTATTTTTGTTTTTTGGCTTTTTTTTTTTAAGGAAGAGGCAGGTTATCTTTATGAGTTTGAGGTCAGCTCGGTCTATATTATATAACAAGTTCTAGGCCAGCCAGGGCTACATAGTAAGAATATCTCAAAAAATAAACAAAGCAAACAGCAAGTATTCCCCCCACCTCCCTGAGAAAGGGTTTCTCTGTGTAGCCCTGGCTGTCCTGGAACTCACTCTGTAGACCAGGCTGGCCTTGAACTCAGAGATCCACCTACCTCTGCTTCCCAAGTGCTAGAATTAAAGGCGTGCGCCACCACTGAAGGGCTTGCAGCAAGTGTTAATGGCTGAGTCACCTCTCTGATCATAAGATTTTTTTTTAAGAATCACATTGTATTTTATGTATAGCAATACAGTTTACATATTAAGCAACATTAGAAGGAAATAATTTTATATTGTTTTAAGCAGAAGAAAAGGGGGGGAATCTTCAGGTTATAAAACCTCTCTTCCAGCTGGGCATTGGTGGTGCATGCCTTTAGTCACTGTGAGTTCGAGACCAGCCTGGTCTACAGAGTGAGTTCCAGGACAG